CCAGTCTGGGGAAACCAGAAGCTCCAGCCGAAGAGTAATTTGAAAAGTCTATTTGGCAAACATATGCTTTCGGCAATTCATCATAGGGCCTGTAAAATTGCACAGATGGTGAATATAGGAGATGTGGACAGAATTTATAAATGTCTTCTGAATAAAACTCATTCTTTTCACACCGCCCGTATGGCAAGCTCGGCATGAAGAGGTCATTGCACAGGGATAAGGGGAAAAATTGAATAGGCTGTGAGTATTGGTCACGGGTCGAGTACGCGACGTGAAAATCACCGTCGCGTGCATGGGGTGAACAGTTGTCACCAGGGGGTGGAGACCACATGCGATTGCCACCTGGCGTCGGCCACGGAAGAGAGACCGCCTGTATTAGCGTCTTCTGACAGCACAGCACTGGATTCGCTGGCCGTATAACCACTGTTTCCGCTGCGGCTAGCGCCCGTTGGTGTAGGCGAAGTTGACTGGTGTCCGATAGAAAACCAATTTTTCATTACTACTCAGTGAGATTATGGTGAGTTCTGGGTTGCGGGCAGTGACGTGGTGGGGGGGAGGCGACGAGTAATTTCTACAGTAAATTGCCTGACTCATTAAATGCTGAAATAAAAATGCGAGGTGGTAGCATGGCCCACGGTTGAAGTTGTTACTATTGCTTATTGGATTGAACTGGGGGCGCAGAAAGCTGTTTACTAAAGAAGATTTCAGTTCAGATCTATTGTTTGGATAAAAACGGACCAGAATTTGGCAACATTCGACGTTTCTTGTTAGTCAGGAATTTTCACAAGCCATTGAAAGCTACTTTAAACGAGCATCAACATGAGCCAAACAATGTGTAAATATAGCTTTTCATAGACGGGAGAGTTTAATTTTGCCTACAATAAAATTAGGTAGATGCAGGTATGGGAAACTGCATTGTTTGCGGGAAAACAAGAGCAAATTCACTTTTTAAGAAATTTTCTTTTCAAATCTCGTACGCTTTGTGCTATAAAACTAAACAATAAACCTGTGTGACTGTAGTTTGTTTTACTACAGCGATAATTGGGACGGTAAACACATATCTATATGAGAATCCGCGACATGCCGTCACCTTTCTCTGTCCCATCGCATACAAAAGATGTCCAAATAGACATCTATATATGATTGAGTGTAAATGAATACGGAAACGTTAAAGTAAACGGGCAGAAGAGTATCATTTTTCGTAAAATCTTACTATTAGTATGCTGTGCACTTGCGATCTTGGAGCAGACACAAAAAGTGAGTTATTCCCGTTGCGGTGGTTATTTGATGCCGAATTTTCAGGGAAGTCAAAGAAGCGGTCAGACCATCGCATTTTATCTTGACTTAACCTTCCAAAACGGTGAAGTACGTAGATATTCGACATCCACATACCTAATAAAAGCACGTTTTAGAGAGGAAACTTAGTACACAAAGTTTTCAATTGATATCATTATTTTTTAACCTCTGTTGGAGATGCACATTTTCCTCGACAATGAATTTTCATGTTTGCGTGAGTCCGCATTTATGACATAAAAGGCTATCTGCATTAAAACGAATGTCCAACAACGGCAAGGTATTAATAAACGCGTAGAAGAGAATCCACATTTCTGAATAATCGACTGAAAACAGTCAAATTCGTAAAGTGTTCACCACAATTTCAAGGGCCATCCGAATCTTGTCGTAATCAAGCACCTCAAATAATTATACAGAAATGTGGCGAAAAGATATTCTCCTTGATGGACACAAGGTGGTACGTTTACGACTGCAACTGACAATTCCACTTAAAGGTATTAGGTACTGACCGGTCTGTCCACACGTGAGCTTATGAAATATCTTACATCCCTTTCGGCACAATTAAGCGAAAATCTATTTGCCTTAGTCCAAAGCATCTTAAGCAACGTAGAAACTTTAGACTGGTTGGAAACGGGCATGCTCTACTTTGCGCATGAGATGAAAGAATTAGCCATCGAAAATTCGCAGAAAGACTACTTTCAAAGGTAATTATACTTGTGCTGCTCTATTTACGCGGCTTTTTGCCCAAATAGGCTTTCTCGACGTGTAAAAGTTAAGTTTACTAAGTAACCCTGATTTTCACTGTTTTTTTCAGAAATTTTCTGTTTTCCAAAAATTGCCTATTTGCAGACTGTATTGCCGGCAAAAACAAATTACACTAGGAGGGCCATTTCTGGCTTATTAGCCGTCTTCAGCCAGTCATACCCAGACGCAAGTGAGGCTCCACTCGAGTCTGGTTAGTATTTTCAAACCACTTAATATCAAATGATAAATTACAATATATACTTCCTTTTTAAACAAGTCCCTTTACTGCTGTAAGACTGTTGGAGGACGCAGTCTGATCCGCTTTAGCCTTATTGACATTTTCCTGCTAAATTCGCGAGATTTAATTCGTTGGGCAGTCTGTCGTACAAGGAAATTTAACGACGGCGCGTGAACCAGAGTTTTCAATTCGAGCTATTGTTTCTATTTCGGTATATAAATGCTCAATTACTGAGTGTGTGTTGCTACGCAATCGCCTGCGATAGCAGGGCAAAGATGATCGTCAACACTCCATCCTGTAAGTGGGCTAGACCAGTGGGAATAACTGATCCCTCCACAGCTAACAGGGGTTCGGATAGTCCAAGTAATTTCCGGTAGGTACTTCAGTCTTGAAATTGCTGCTTTTTAACTTTTGACTTGGAGCATCTAGAGTATCTACCAAAATAAGAAAACGAAAACACGCGGCATACCGGAGGACCCACTTACAGTAGATGTTATATCTGATGAAATGTGACGATCAAAATTTGAGTGGAGGGGGGGAGTTTGAGACACATTTCAAGTTGTTTATTTTGTCTATTGAGTTGATTTTATGCGCAAAATGCTATTTACTAGTAAACGGTTACGTTCAGAGTAGTATATTGGGGGCAACTAGGGGCGAAATGGGACCAAATCCAACGTTTATTGATATCCAAAGGATTTCCTATACTATTAAAACTGCGGAAAAAAACTAACAGACACTTTTTTGCGTTCATGAAATTGAGGTAAGTGCACGTATGAGACAACCCATTACTGTTAGGAAAAGAGGAGCGGAGCAAGTTTAAAAAATTCTATTTTGCAAATCTGCTACTTTTTGTGCCATAAAATGAAGTAATAAACTTATAAGGCTGTAATTAATTTTACCACACCGAAAATAACGAGCGCAAACAAGCATATATGTAAACACACGAGACATGCCGTCAATCTTCTCTGTCAAGCGGTGTGCAAAAGATGTTCACACATTTTTTATTTATAGAGCAGGATCAATGAATAGAAAAGCTTGAAACGGAACGGACAGAAGATTATTGGTTTTCGCAACATCGTCGTTGATATTCTGCCATTCTAGTCTGCATTTCTTATCTTAGAACTGAGCCTGGAAGTAGACAAATATACTGAGAACTGCTCTGGTATTAAAAGAAAAGGGAGTCCCTTCATATCCAGCAGAACATTCATCTCTAGTTTTTAGGGAAGTTGAAAAATAGGTCAGCATTTCCCCTTTTGATCTTGACTTTATCTTTGAGAAGGGTAAAGTACACAGATATTCGACGTCGAACTATCTAATTAAAGCCCTTTTTCAAGAGATAACTTGTTATAGAAAGCTTTTTCATTAATCTTAGGCACAATAATTCTCGACTTTTGCTGTGGGCGTTAATTTTTCTCGGTCATGAGTTGAAATGTTTGGGTGTTCCTAAAACCATGACCCAATTAGAGAGCTGTTTAAGAAATTAAAAACTCGTTATTTGGGCGAAATATGCAATTTTAAAATTTTTGGTAGGCACGTAGAATCTTATCCTGACTTATGACCAATTAACTGAACCCAGTGAAAATCGTAGTGTTGATCACAAATTCAGGTGCAATTTGAACCTCGTCGTAGTCAAAATCCCAAAACAATTACAAAGAAATGCGGCGTAAGCGAATTTCTCTTAGTGTAAAAGGATTGTGCGTTTACGATTTCACCGAATAATTCCATTTAAATTTCTTACTCACTGACTGACATGTCCGCACGTGAGATTACGAGATACCTTACTCCTGTGACCATTCAATCGGCAAAATCAAGCAAAAATCTGGTTGCTCTATTGTAACGTAACTCAAGCAAAGTATAAACGGGAGAAACAACTAGCAGTTCTCGTAAAACCATGATGGAATACATACTTGAACGTTGGGCCGTTCGCTAACAGCCGTATATTACATTGCATGTAATATGGAAGCATACGTATCTGAAAATTGCACAACATAATTCTACTTATGCTGCTTTAATCACTCGGTTTTTCTGCATGAACGGGCTTCATCTACATTTACACCTTGAATTTACCTAGTACGCCCAATTTTCAATTTTACGGAATTTTGTGGTTTGCTAAAAAGCTGTTATTTTTAAACAACGTACTATTACTTGATAAATCACAATACGCCCTATTTTGAAGAACAACTAAAACTTTATCACTGTAAGACTTTGGCGGCCTCAGCTTGGTCTGCGTTTGCGCAACAGGCAGCTTCTTGTAAAAATCATTGGATTTGATGAGTCGGGCCATCTATTGCATAGGCCGAACCCCCCGCAGAGGCATAAGATCGGCGAAACACGTATGTCTTGACTATCAGCTAGTTGGTTGGTTAGTAGCCCTTGTTGGATCAGGAGTCCCCGCCGGAGTCCAAACTGGTTGTAGTTCGAAGACGGAGAAAAGCCGGCTGGAGCCAAAGGTCAACGGGGGTGAGTTTTGTGCCTGGTCGGGAACTGCAGGCAGAAAGATGTTGACAGTCATGCGGAGAGACGCCGCAGTCGGGAAAGCAGTCGGTTATGGACGGGTCGAGCTATTGTTGGTACTGGCGAAGGAGCATGGATTAGCCCCTGCGTAGCTGCGCCTGAGTACAGCGAGTGACCCTCGGAAGTTGTTGTTCTGAGGCCGCAATCGGAGGTGGATAGCGGCCCAAAAGAACCGGGAGTGGTAACCTCATTTTTCCTCGACAACGGCTCTCTAATAAAGACGCTGGAAGCCTGTCTTGGTGGCAGAGCCATCAGCGGGTAGATCCGAGAGAAACGAGGCGACAGCTTCCTTGTGGAGAGCTCGAATAGACGCCGCAGCTGCGTTCAGGAGCGTGACAACGATGGCGATTAGGATGGCCGGGTTGCGAACACGTCCACCAAAACTGCTGGCCTAAGAGTGTGTTGTGAGGGGCGACCGGCAGGACAGAAGCCACTGCATGCAGATGATCGATAGGCGACATTTTATAGAAGCCTGTAATCGTGCGGAGGACAGGGTTCTGTGCTGACTGAAGGCGGTGGAGGCTGGAAGAGCTGATTATGGGGGACCAGATTGGTGCCGCATAAGTGAGATGCGGCTTGGCCAGCGCTTTGAATGTGATCGCCAAGGTCCCTTTCGCGCAGCCACAGGATGGTGTATAGTCGGGAGTTTCAAAAATCCCGTTACGCAGTGGCTCAACTTGCAGCACTCGCATGCAGTGGCTTGATAGCGGCCACCTCTAGCACCGGGATGGGAGGATTTAACTCGTCCTGTGCCTACCCAAGTCACCGCAGGCGGCAATTAACATTTGCCGTGTCGCAAAAGCTGTTAGTGGAGCAGCTGAGGTTCTAATTCGGTCCCTGTCCCGAACTAAAGACCAGGCCACACTGGTTTCCTTCAAATGCGGACTGCATGGCAATTCTATTATTCAAACGTCAGCAGCATAACGTTAATCTTGATCCTACGACGTAGTAGCCATGTTCTGCGGTGAGTGAAAGCGAGAAAAAATACTTAAACCTTAAACATGCACGATCTCCCGGCAACAAACCGTCAAAAAACAAAAACTATACACCTCCCACATGCCTACCTAAC